GATCGTGGAGTACGTGCGCGTCAAGACCAACTGGACCTTGAGAGTCGAGAGGTTGGAGCCGCGTCACAACACGAACTTCAAGTCGTTCGTGGTGCGCGTTCCGACCAGGCATGTTAGGGAGCTCCATAACCGTAACCGAAACTATCGGATATCCGGTTTAAAAAAATATCCGTAACCGTAACCGAATCCGAAATAAAAGTTTCGTATAATATCGGTTAGGGGTGGAGCCTAATTGAGACACGTTATGTTTGTATTTTACTTTAAAACTTTAATATCCGTAACCGAAATTATCCGAAACTTACGGATAATCCGAAATAATTTCATATCCGTATCCGTAACCGTATCCGGTATAATAATCATTCCTATATCCGTATCCGTGTATATATTTTCATATCCATAACATCCCTAGTTCCGACACACCATCTCGAGAAGTTCCTCAAGGAAGAGTTTTGGCCGAAGGGTGTCGTGTATCGCCGGTTTCGTGGCCGCCTACATGACACTAGTCAGCGAAACATGACGCCGATACCTACTTCATTTGCAATAGTTTTAGAGTAAAATATAACTAAATGGATAAATAAATAATAATAAAATACTGAAGTATTGAGGCGAGTCGTTCCTCTTGAGAAGGCAGCTTCGACAGTGCGTTCATGTGGCGCGTATTTCGGCGGTAGTGGTTGAGCGCATCCTTTATTCAGAAGCATGGCGGGCAACTTGAGGTCATTGCTGCGACAGAATATTCCTGACTTGGAGACTAGTAGGCTCTCACACTTGGATGCGAAGCGTGACCACCAGCGGCAGTCGCCTACCATCGTGTGAATGATGCTCTCACGCGTCCATTCTGTGCGAGAATATTTAAGAACAAAGGTGGATGTTGTAGCCACGAGAGAGCCCATTATAGACGCCAGTAGATGAGTACAGAGACGGTCGCCGTAGCTGCTAACGTCTAGGAAGGATTACTAGTTGAACCTTAGCTTAATGTGGAGCGTAATGTACCGCGACCTCGCTCCTTGCAGGAGAAGGAAAAGGGGGGTGTTTAGTCAGTAAGAGTCTGACTCTCCTCGCCCCACCCACGGCAGGAGTCGATATTAATGATTTCCCCCTCTTATCTGTACCATCTTCGGATATTATGAAAAAGATGTGTCATTTAATTATTGTCCTTTGAAAAACTCATATTCATTAACTTTACGTAATTCTGTGTATTCTATTAAACTATTATATTCATGTTAGCCACCTATTGTAAGGAGATACGATGGGGCTGATATATCTTTGATAAAAACCTATAAACAAAATCAAGATGAAAAAACATTTTCCCACCAAACACAGCTATTTCTTATTACTGTTTTGAAGTAGAAAATCCTGTATTATTTTCTATCAATGATAAATAAACTAACTAGCTGTACTTTTTATATTTATCTGAACAAAATATTAGTGTTACACTGTTCTCACATAATTGAACCTACTGTTTGTATAAGGAATCTGTATGTGAAACTGATTTAAAAAAGAGTAACCATGGAGTTTGTTGCTCGTTCTTCTCCATCGGAATCTACACTTTGAAACGAGCAAATAGCTTCACTAGAGGACTGATCGACAGACTGACACTTTATATCTTTAAAATTTAGTTTGTTTGACGTTCAAAAGTGCCTGTAAGGGTCTAATTGAAATAAATTATTCTTGACTTTATACTGACGAACAGACTGACGGACTATTATTCAATCTTGACGTTACACAAGTACCTGTATTGGTTGGAAGTTGGAAGGAATGAAGAGAACAGGTTGTCTTAGCTGTATCTCTATTTATAAATGTAAGCAAACAAAATTACTCCACTAATAACCTACAGCATATCAAACAAATGAATGTACTACAAACTAAATACTTGATTACCTAAACATAGTGAACTAAAAAAATGATGTTTTTTTATCAAAATTTCCAGCAAAAATCTATCAGAATCTACACTACATATACGAACTTTAAAACTACATTACTCACCGTAAAACTAAAATACTGATTTGCACACAAATTATTCAATACTAGCGACCCGTCCCTGCTTCGGATGCTATGCTAAAACTAAATTTCTCCACTATTTAATGGATGTTATTATACATATAAACGTTCCTCTTCAATCACTCTATCTATTAAAAGCAATCACAGCAAAATCCGTTGCGTAGTTTTAAAAGTTAAAGCGTACATAGGGATATAGGGACAGAGAAAGCGACTTTGTTTTATACTATGTAGTGATAACTATGGATTTTTAAGTTAGGTTAGGATCAAGACAAGAAAATAGATCTACTTTTAGTCAACAGATAGTCATTCAGTATAACATTTAAGCTTAGAACATCCAACAGTATACTGGATTTATTTGAGGAGCAATCCAAGTGTGCAATTCCGTATTTTTCGAATATTTCGCCTGAAAAATGGGGCTAAGTAATTGGACTATTAAACATCACACAAAGAATGCAATAAAACACAAAAGTCATCTATGATAATGTATTTTTCTCTTAAGGTTTAACATCTTAAAACCAAATAATCCACACGCTGGAGACTCGAGTTTACATTGGTACATTTTATAATCCTCACTATCCTATGTTGTCGCGCATTCTCATTTCGAAGACAAACGCTTCGACGAAGTAATGCCTAGAACAGTAAAGGAAGCGTTTCAACAACTCCTTTTGTCTATAGAACAGACAAATTGCCTGATGGTAAGCTACCCGTGTCGCCGACAGACACCGAAGGAGACCTCACCATTGCCACGCTGGACAAACTGAAGCAGTGTCTCAGGAACCGGGACCAAACTTTTAATATTATAGGCATTCAATCATTCGTAGCGTTTGTAGCAATGACTTGTGAAGTGAATTATCAAACTACCTATCTATAGGTGAACTACTCGACAGACAGACAGACAGACAGTTACACAGCAGTAGGTACCTATATCTTAAATTACCGGGTACTTTGTTTTACTAATCATTAATTGTTAAGTTATATTATAAAAATTGTTACACAAGTATTTATTACTTAAATTTATTTTATCATTATCTTAAATATAACTCATTCAATGTTTCTTTTTGTAATTAACTTCATAAGTCATTGTGGATTCGATTACCGATTAATGTGTATTACAAATATATGTGGCCTAGATCGCGCGCGTCTACTCCCAGTCAATGCATAGATTTCAACATCAATTAGACACTGAGACTTACTCTTGTAACTTTTCGAGCATGCTCGACTGATTACGAGCGACCACCGGGGCTCATAATCTTGCGAAATATAGCCACATACAAATGTAAGTCATCGTGTCTAATTAATTTTTCATTTATGATTTACAAAATTCTTGGTCAACATTTATAGAGACTTGTACAATGTTTTATACATTTTTAGATATTACGAGTATACCTCTTACGGCCAGCTTGAATCTGTATATTTGCTTACAAGAGAAATCATTATCATCAGTAGTGTTCACGCGAGAGAGTAACAAACATCCATCCGTACTTACAAACTCTCGCGTTTATAATATTTGTAGCTCTGGTAAGCAAATCTGCAGATCTGTACGTCCTTGAAACTGTCCGATAGACACACACAATAAAGTATATATTTTACAATAAATACTTACATAATAAGCTTACAAAAACTATATCCGATTCGAAAGTATTGACAAACAAAATATGGCGATCAGTCTAGAGTAAAAAAAAAAATCGCAAAACATATTTTATAAAACTGAACAGGTTTTTGGTTTGAATTTGAACGCACTTATCTCCGAAACTAGTGGTTCGAATTGGACGATTCTTTTTGTGTTGGATAGTCCATTTATCGAGGAAGGCTATAAGCTATAAAACATCACGCTACGAGCTATAGGAGCCGAGCAGCGAAGGACTAAACATCGCTGCTGTTCAACTTGTCCAGAATTAATACTTTCAAATCAAATATAGTATTTGAAACATATCATAAGAATCAGTCCAACAGTATTTTTATAGTCATTGTCAAATATACGTCACTATACGATTTAAGCGATTTAATATCGCTCAGTCAAGACAGTAGACGCCTTTCCCCCTACAGGATAGTAAGCAGGGAAGTACATTCACGATGCGACAACCACATATCACCAGTTACACCATGAGTCTAGTTTATGAGCCGACATTTATAATTCTAGGCAAACGGAATCTTAAACAAGGAGGTGGGGGGCGTATATATATTACGTGAGATGATTAAAGGGGGGAGTCAAGTCTCATATAATCTCACGTTGGAGAGAGGGAGACAAATTGATTGAAACGAATGAAAGAAAAGAAGAAGAAAAATGCTATGGTTGTTTTTGCATTTAAGTTAATTGCCTGAGAAATACTTTTAGAAGCGAATATACACCATGTTGCTTCATCGAAAGTCGAGTCCGAGAGCCGATAGAGATGGAATGTCAAACATTCTCAAGGGAACGGGAGAAATATTAAAAATAATTCCTTCATGAACAGCGAATGTATTCCCTACTGACAGACGACAGAACGAACACTAACGTTACGTTAGGTGACGATACATCGCAGCTCAATATTACAGCAAGCCATTTTCTAAGGCCGTCACTTGAATGGTGAAAGGGTTGCCATCGAAACAGACTTACTACCAGAATGGTAGGTCAGTAGGTTACAACTGCGACCCGCACAGAAATGGTGTTGCCATCGGAAATAAAAAGCTACCATCTATAGCTATATCATTTACTGAATGACTTATTAACGCCCTAGCCGGCCAGGCAGCTAGTCTGTTTCCATAAAAACCCTTGAACTAACAGATTAAATGAGAAATCTAGTCATTCAGGTCGTTGAATGAATGACTAGCTGTTTCATTTTACATTTATACTGAACGAAAACACAAAAAGCCGACAAGAATACGCAATATTTGTGAAAAGGGGCGTGTCCTAAACTTGTTGTAATTACTGTAAAAGGTTGAAACAAAACTAGCAAAGTCCTCACCAACTCGAATGCCTAGAAAAAGTGGGTAATTTTAGTGAAAAGGGGCGTGTCCGTTTACTTGTGGTTTTGCCTTAAGGCCGCGGCGATATCTCTGACGTCTAGTTGTACTTTCGGCTTGTGCTGTGGCGGCTCGAAGTAAAAGTCGAACCGTTTGAAGGATTCGATTTCCCGTTCGGAAACTTCAAGTACCGATAGATTCGTTATGCTGGAGTCGGGGAGGAATACGCTCGATTCTGTCAAGGAAACAAACGTTTTTGTGTCATTCACACTGGCCCAGGGTATCATGGTATATGGTCAGATATGGTACAGACCTGGGTGCGCATGCCGAGCTCCGATGGGACCGAACCTTCGGTCATCGGCAGGCGGGGTGGCGGGGCCCGCGCCGGGGGGCAACTGGCTGACCCCACCGCCCCCACTGCTGGTAGACTGGACGGACGACCCCGTGGGGGAGCTGCGGGCTGATTGCGCTCCTGGAACGTACATATACCATGACCATACTCAATGGACATTTTGCGATAAATATTCTATAGGATTACACGCTTGTACATGTTACAGTTTGTGACGCGGACGGTACGAGCACAGAGTATACAGACCTGGTTTAATAGCAGCGGAGTACAGCTGGTCGGGCCAGGCGTGGGCCGGTCTGCTGAAGAGGGACTCCTCACACACTCCGCACTCTAGAGGGTGGCCGGGCTCCTGGACACGACACACGCTATTACACCCACCCCTCTATGGAGGTATAATTATATATTCATATAGTCACAGAATCTTGGAAACAGCTCTAACGAATTCGATGAAATCTATACTAATATTATAAAGCTAAAGAGTTTGTTTGTACACGCTAATCTATGTCCGGAACTACTGGATCGAACTGAACAAATGTTTTTCAATTCAATTCAATTCAATTCTTTATTTGTATTCCATATGTTATACAGGTGATATTTAGGGCACAGCATAAAGAGTTTGGAGAGGTTATATATACATAGTTAGAGGTTATATAGGTTAGGTTATTATACAGTACATATTATCTAGTTTTGTATTAGGTATATCTATGCTTATTACTAAAATTGAAGTACACATGTTGTATTCTTACTTTTTAAACTTATTAATACTTATCTCAATGTATGTGTGCGTGCGTGTATTTGGGTGTATGTGGATGTGTGTGAGTGAGTGTGTGTGTGTGTATTTGTGAGATTATATGTAAAGGCTTATTTTTTAATTTATTTATTCGTTATATTTTGTTTTATATTTTAGTTTGTATTGGTGCTCATTATTTTTTTATTGACTTATCATCCATGTATTCTTTCTGTTTTTCTTTCTTTTCTGTTCGTAAGTCCATTTATCGAGGAAGTCTTTTGGCTTTAAAACATCACGCTATGATCTATAGGAGTTGAGCAGCGGGGGAAACCGCGTGAGAGTAGCTAGTTTTCATATATTCACAGAATCTTTATGCTACACCTATTTTATACTTTGTGGAACGCAAATAAATAATATGAATATGAATAGAATGACTTCCTTACTACACTTGCATAACTATACTTAGTCTCCGATGTATATTGATGGGTCATAACAATGTATAGTCTAGGATCAAAAGTACAATTGCACTCTAACGATGCGAAAACGTGTAAAACTTCGTTATAATACAAGTTCAAGGATCTTAAAACTCTGTTATTAATTACTTTAGAATCTATGCTACTAATAAATCAAGCGAAGAACCTCTGTCACTCACTTAAAAAGAAATTTTAGACACTTCAGCATTGTTAAAGTGTGTAGTTTCCTAGTAAAATTGTGTAGCTTCCTAGGCCAACAATAAATTAATTTGACGTTTCAATACAATTAAATATTGAAAATGAACTATACTTTTATTCATCGATCGATCGATACACTAAGTTTTAGATATTTTGTAGCTAATTATTAAGAAATAGGTAAGCTTTTTGTAAAAGATAAGATAGGACTGGCATATCTTTTTGGGTAAAAAATTCCTAAATAAATGAGACAAAAAAGAATATATAATATTTACAGAATCTCGCAATCGATTTAGATGAATTTATGTTTATCAAGGGAAAGAGGAACGAAAAATCTATACAAGTGGGGCTTACTTTCACAAAAATATATCATCAAGGTATTATTATAAACGCGAAAGTGTGTAAGTACGCATGTAAGTTTGGCACAGAGACAGATTACAATAACGCGTACAATTGGAACAGCTTACCTGCCCCTTGTAGAACTTGGAGTCAGTAACGCGGTGGATAGAAACTTCATTGTTCAGCTTCGCTCCGACTCTAAGCCTTTGGAAATATGGCAACGAGTCTCCATTCGCGACGTGCTTTAACCCTTTATCATCGCTTTTATCACTGAAAAGCGCGTTCCTGAACACGTTCCGGTCTTCCTGACCGAACGGAGTGTATAGACCGGTATACTGTTGGTCTTCTTGCTTCATAGGCGTCCCTATAGGCTCAGGCCGTTGTATCGGGTTGGCGAATAGAGATATATCCGATTCGAAGCCTCGGCTCGTGTCCGGTCTAGTTCCTATAGGATTCGGGGAAACGACAGACTTGGGGCTTTGGTTTTCCAAGTATTCCGGTGTGAGGAAGTTCCTTTGTTGCTGATCGTCGGGGGTTTTAAATAAAGAGTATCCTTCATCGTTCTTTTGCGTGAACGACGCCAAATTCATGATTCGTGTTTGGAAATCGTCGGATTTGGGTGGGTCGGCGCATTGGCTGTAACTGTTCGGGTTCACATAGTTATATTGCTGGGGGTACATGGGGTTGAGTTGAGGACTTTGAGCTCTGACGCCCATCATACTTTGTTGGTGCATCATCGTCATTAGAGGATTTCTTATAGTGAACATTCCGTTTGACGTAGGGGTGATAGTCGCTTGGCAAGCGTTCGGCGGCATCGGTATCGGGTCGGGCACTCGAATCTGTTCCTGTTTCTTCGCCGGCTGATTGCTTATCTGGACCGGTGGGAGGTTAGGATGGAACATGGGGTTCCTCAGGGTGACGATCTTGGACCCGTCTTGTTTTTCTTCGGCGGCCGCGGCGGCCTTTTTCGCCTTTTTCTTGGCCTTCTTCGATTTGCCAGGCACGGGGGGCGGCTCGGCTATTATCACCGGTTTCGGCGGTTCTGTGGACAAGTTTAACAAATTAGTAACAGTACTAGAATCTATAAAGTGAAGCCGGAGTAAGGAACTCACCGGGATGCGCAGTGCTGAACATGACGTTGGCTGGGTCAGCGTTGATGATGGGCGCCGGCCTGGCCACGGGGGTCGGCGCGGCGGGGAGCTGGCCGGCCTTCCAAAGCGGCTACACACAAAACAAATTGTTTATTGCACTCCATAATGTACATAAGTTAGTAAAACAAAAATGGACGCTGATAAGCAAAGCATAGTAATAGAAGAGAGGAAGGCGTTTATTTGAATCAATTTATCTTCATTTAAATTATAATTTATTTATTTTTAAATTTTAGGAATGCCTTAGAGCTGGGTAATCTTTATTTTCATTGCTTAATATACATTTCTTTACTTAAATTTATTTGACTTTTGTAAAGCAGCTTACATATATTCGTGATATTTGTATTTTTATATGTTATGTGCAGTAGTACTATTTATATAATGTTGTTCAAAGAAAGAAAGAAAAGAAAATAAGCTTTATTTCACACGCTAAAACATGCGACACATAAGATTCTGTACAAACACTTTATGCACCACCTACATACTAGAGTCCCAAGTCTGCGGTGAAATGGGACCAGTTCAGCATGTGCAAGACAGGGCCTTGCGCTGGTATTCTACTGGCCCCTTAAGTGACTCGCGGACGAACAAGCCACCAACGGACAGCAGTAAACAATTACCAGTTTGTAAATAAGTAAAAAAAAAAACAAAAATTATAAAATAACAAAAGTAAATCAAACATTAAAATAAATCTACTAAAAAAACATCAAAAAACAACACAATAAAAGTTACATACAATAAAAATTTCACTTTAAATAGTAACATACATATAACCTATCATTAACTTTTATAATCATTAAAAACAAGAAGAAAAATAAGAAACAAATAGTCATGACATGGGATTGAGATGGCGATAGCAAGCAGGCAAAACTGTGACACCACGCCATAGGCGCTGGACAAGTGGAATTGAAAAATTATACTTATTTCAATATCAATATTTCAAATCAATTGTATTGTATTGTGTTATTGTGTAGTGTGTTTGTGCATCATTGCAACAGAAAAAACTTTAATCAAAATTCTATCTGTGTGGTAGAATGTTGACCCATGCAGTTAATCTTAAAGAATGCGATCGAAGTTTGTAGGTACTATTTTATGGGAGTTAGATTTGCGCGTATCCTTGAACCAGTGACACTGACGGTCATGGTGTCGAGGTGGAAGACCACATATTCAAGTGCCACATAGTTATATTAACGATGTGTTGACACTCACCATTCCTATCTTTCTCTGTGCGTCCATCAAATATCGACGCACATGTGTTCTAAAAGTACCAATTGTGTTGAGAGACCTGATAGGTGGAGGTAGGTTATTCCATACCTTCGATGCAGCATAACGGAAGCTACCCCGAAAGCCCGATGTCCTATGCCTCGGTATAGACAGTGGGCGGGTGCACTGTCTCAGTTTACATTCCCTTCCACTTGCTACCCAGTTAAGCCTGTCATACAGATACGAAGTTTCCCTCCGCTTTACGACTCCGAACATAAGGCATGCCAGATGTAGTTTACGTCTTGACTTCATTTTTAAAATGCAATGTTGGTTTAGATACGGAGTGACATGACTCCTCCTCGGAATCGCAAAGCAAAAGCGAGCACAGGCGTTTTGAACCCTTTGAATGAGCCTCTCTGTTCGTGACAGTAGACGCGGGCCGTAAACGGTATCGGCATAATTTAACTTTGATAAAACTAGGGATTCTACTAGTTGTATCCGCAGTTCCTCAGACAAATACGGTCGTATCTTGTATAGAATAGACAAGCGGTAAAAACAGTTACGGACTGATTCAGCAATGTGTTTCTCGTACCTAAGACCACTATCCATATATAAGCCCAGGTTCCGCGCCCCCTCAACCCTCTCAATCGACTCCCCCATTAATTCTATATTAAAGTCAGGCAAAGAATTTAGGCTAACCCTGCTACCAAACAACATGAATTTGGTTTTTGCAGGGTTTAATACTAGAGAGTTCTCTTCTGACCATTTTACAATTCTCCCAAGATCTTCATTTAACTTGCTAATCGCGGTGTGATATTCGCTCGGTCGAAAAGAGACATATAATTGCACATCGTCTGCATAAATGTGATATCCACTATTCTTTAGGCATTTAGCTAAGTCTGCACAGTATAATGTAAACAATACGGGTCCCAAAATTGATCCCTGGGGCACACCCCTTCCCACAGGAGTAAGTTCAGAAGAGAGAGTGTTGCCGTTATTCGACTGCAAAACTACGCGCTGCCGCCGATCATCCAAATAGCTGTGAAACCACAAAACGGTTTTATGGTCAAATCCATAGTATCTCAGTTTAGACAACAACAGAGGGACACTGATACAGTCAAATGCACGGGAGAAGTCCAATAGCACGAGCACTGTACACATACCCTGGTCCTGAGCAAACAAAATACTGTCCGTCACGTCAAGCAAGGCAGTAGCAGTACTACGCTGCTTCCTGAAGCCGGATTGCAGAGCAGGGAGCAAACCGTTTTTCTCGAGGAAATCCGTCATTTGGTTACAGACCACTCTCTCTATAACCTTTGACAGACACGGGAGAATACTGATGGGTCGCAGGTCTTTAAGAACAGTTGGGTTAGATATCTTGGGAAGCGGTCGAACAGTTGCTATCTTCCATATATTAGGAAAGGTTGAGGTTTGAATAGATGTATTTACAATATCAGTAAGATTATTTAAAATGTGAGGTAACGTCAGATTAATCATGTTCAAATTTATGTTGTCACAGCCTTCCGCATTAGATTTTAAATTAATAACAATTTTAAAAATAACCTCCCGTCCCACCGGCATCAATGAAAAAACTGCGTCGCTATACCTATGAAATTCGTAGAATGTCAAGGTTGAGATATTACTCCTTGGGTTACCGGGTACATCAAGAAAGTAGCAGTTAATTGTGTTTGGGTCATCGAAATAAAACGGTAAGTCTTGTGTTTGTTTACGAGGTAGTAGTGTAGCCTTCATATTCTTCCACAGAGCTTTAGGGTTATGTTTTTGACTGTTAATATTATATTTAAAATAGGCGGCCTTTTCGTAATATAAGGAGGTTGCAACCAGGGATTTTAACTGTTTATAGTATTTTTTTTTACACTCCAACTTCGTTTTTCGATAGTTAGCTAACGCTTGGTCCCGCAAACGCATCATGAGCTTTATGTTGTCAGTTACCCAAGGGTATGACGGTTCCTTGATAGTACACAATTTAATCGGTGCGTGGACATCAAATACTGCTGTAATGTAAGTAGACAATATGTCAACTTTGTCGTTTACAGTATTTAATTTAGTGATGTAATCCCAATCCAAAGCAGATAAATCTTTCTGAAAATTTTCCAAAGAGATATTTCCAATGGGCCTATATTTGATGGCATATGGTTTGAACCTCTCCCGCTTGACCTGAAATGTGCATGATATAACGGCGTGACCGCAGATAGATTTAAATCCGTCTACCGCTACGCTCTTTGCCTGCATGTTTGTACAAACGAGATCGATCAATGATTCGCTAGAATCAGTGAAATGTGTAGGATCGACAACCAACTGCGACAATCCGAGACTACGTAAAAATTCCGACAGCCTCTGTGTTTTCGCGTCATTGTGATTGAGAAGGTTAACGTTAAAATCCCCCAGTAGTAAAACGCAATCAATAGTTCTCAACGTTGTTATGCTATCAGTCAAAGCATCGAGAAACAGGTTTAGATCGAGCCACGGCGGTCGATACGCTGTACCAATTGCAATTCTCTTGCCACTAATAGACAATGAGAGCCACATCTGCTCGACCGCGCCATAAGCAGGATCAGCAGGGCAGGTTAGCGTACGCACATTCAAACCTCGTTTAATGTAGAAGCCAACCCCACCACCCCGGCCCGAGCGCACACTCGCCGGTCGCGGCACATGACGCAGTCGATAGCCGGGCACAGACGGCGCACGGCCATCCTCCCCTGGACGCAACCAAGTTTCGTTAATTGCCATTATGTCAAAACAATACTTCTCCACTACTGCAATAAAGTCATCATGGCTCGTATTCAGGGAGCCCGCGTTAAGAAATCCTACCTTAAAATCTGTTAAATGCGGAGACATTTATTTAAAATAATTTTAATATCAATGTAAACAAACATACACCACCGGCCACATACATCACGACAGTTATGTTTAAGTACTTTTATTTTAATATTGAGTGTAGTGCTAACATGGAGGATTTGTGAACGCAATTTCGTAGATGTGACAGGTCCGCATATATGCATTCTTTTTAAAATATAAATGTACAATTTTAATATGAGTAATAGCAATTTTATGTAAGTATTATTTGTGTAGTGAAAATGTTTGTATATGTACTGGACGTGAATAATGTTCAATAAACAATGATCGCCAGCCCTGTTGACCCACATTTTTACACCATAAACACAGTAATAAATACCCGACACCGTGATTAAAAACAATTTAATACAGACATATTCAAACAAAGAAACATTTTTAATGAGTACCCGACAAAGTGATACGCTATAATATAGATTTGTTATATAAAAATAACAGAACAGAATTGGCACAAACAACAAACAGCTACTAGGGTAATATAATGCAGTTGTACAATAAGTTAAACTAAAACTCAAATAATCGTCACTGTAGTTGAGGGCCAAAGATACGGTCGACATCTGCCTCGCACCGAATAACATACGCCTTGTCACCGGGCTTGTTCCGCGCAAGAGTACGGCCCCGCTTGGTCCACACGAACTTCCAGCCATGATGCTGACCAGCCTCACGCGCTTTCCGAAATAACAAGCGGTTTTGTGCTGTAAGCCGCTCGTTAACATAGAACGGTTGTGAGGGGGCAGGTAGTCCTAGGCCCGCGGACGTAGCACCGCGGCGCGCTCGTGCACTGCTTAGCACCTCTTCACGCAGATCTCGGCGCACGAGGCGCACAGCGAGTAGTCGAGGGCGAGGAACAGGTCCCGCTGCATCCATCGCAACCAGACGGCGCGCTCCAACGCGTTCGGCGCTGACAATATCCCGCTCATCCAGCTTAACACCCAACTTTAGACCAATCTGCACAGCGAGGTGCACAGGATTCTCGCCGTTGGTCTCAGGCAGATTAGCGATTTCGACGTCATTATTCAATAGTTCCTGGTCACGATCATTTAGGTCCTGTCTTAATTGCGCGATGATGTCATTCACGCTCGAGTCTAGTGGCGCAGAAGATTGTCGACCCTCTAGGGCGACCATCCGATCCTCAAGCCTAACCACATTTTCCTGGCAGTCCCTCAAGGTCGAACGGATATCGGCAATGTCAGCCCTAAACAGTTGCATGTCTTTATTGATCGACCTTAGATTGTCCCTAAATGCCCTTAATTCGGCCATAATGTCTCTTGTCAAGTCCTCTGTGGTTTCAAGGACAATCCGGCCGGCGCTAGTAGGGTCTTCACTACTTGGGTGCTCAGCCGCAGGAAGATCCATGGGGCGGCCCCTGACGGGTGTCTCAGCCTTATTATCCGTTGCCAGATTTTTTCTGCACTCCGGGCATTGCCACGTTACAGCTATGGCCCCAGTCCGAGGCAAAGCAACACACCGCCGATGGTACACTCCGCTGCACCCATTGCACCTGGCTACCTCACCCGACATAAACTGTCCACAACCTCCACACTTCGCCATCGTGAATATTTTACAGCAGCTGTGAATCGACCCCAATCACTATTTGAGTTAGTTGTTGCTATAGCAATACCGATAGATGGCGCTATAACCGCAAGATAGCAAGACAATACAGGGATCGTTTATTGAGACGTATCTCTCAACACCATGGGCCGACACACACCGATTGATAGGCCGCGCACATATTAGGTCCAGATTGTTGTAATCTAAGTCCATAAAAGCATCAGAAAAGTCAACCACTTTTTATTTTAAAATATAAGGTAGTTAAATTTTGTGTTTATATACAGTTCTATTAGTGGAAGATATTTCCGAACAAACAAGTATTTTGTTGAATTGTAAACACTGAACACAGATCACTGATACTTGCACTGTATTTTTAAATAAGGTTTATTATAATTTGGTACAGTTTTTTTTTGTTTTTGACACAACAATTGCGACGTGTGGTCAACTTGACATCCGCGGCGTCACTCATACTCACTCAGGCATATTTGTAGATATTAATCATATTATATAAAAAAGTTATTTGTTTATCGGTTATATATTCATTGATTGAGTAGTAACTACGACCTATGCGTTTTTATTAATAAATTTTTAGGGTGTTTACTCTGTGTCCCTGTCACTATAGTATGATAAAAGGTTATTTTATGATTTATAAATATTAAGCTATGTCTAGTAATACTTAAATAGCGCCATATATGGCTTTTTGAGTACCAAATATAGTGAGTTATACTAAATTTATTTCGAGTAAGAATACCATTGTGGAACTGATAGAGCTCTTCTCAGTAAATTCACGTTCAGTCGTTATTGTTAATATGCCTTATATGGTTCTTTGGATAAAAGGAATCTTTTAGAGTATCTAAAAATAACGAAAAGTACTTTAATTGATTGATTTAATTTCAAACTTAGTTTTAGTTAAGTATGACCTCTATTTAACATACAGAAGATTTTTTTTTTTGTTTTCTTAGGAATATATTTACGTTAGTAATAGTCCATTGAACAAAAATCTGAATTTTTGTATACTCCTCCTATCTAAAATATACAAAATATTAACTAGGTACATAATACATTCTTGCAGCATAGTTCTTAATTTATAATGGTAGCACATATCAAACTTTATTATTTATTTTATTTATGTTAATACTTTACTATGCTAACTACTGTTGTACTATGGTAATTTGATAAGTTCTAGTTATTATAATTTCTATATATTTTGTCTGTACAAACGCATAATTTTAAGAATGTCGGTTAGCTCGTAACTGGCTAATGTATAAGACCTACTGCCTGTAACCAATACTTCTAACTACTTTGTATACATACGCTGTGAGCCTACCTTATTAAGTATTATATTATAATAAATAAATAAATAATAAGTATATGTTTAATAGATATATGTACCTAAGTAAAATAGTGTCTAAGACTCATTACGGTATTTAATATTACGTGTTAATAATGTACAAGAATCAAGTTTGGTTATTTAGTTACCTTTTAGATTGCTTTAAGAGGAATTTTAAGATATTAATTATGTTTAATTTTAAAATAAATTACTTTATAAGTATTTTGTAAGACTGATGGCTACACTATCGAATTAAATCATACATGTTGTTAGTGATATAAATATAATAAATATACCGGCGCCTTGTAAACTCGCGACAAGATGTACAATACTAGTATATACTTACGACAGACTTGATAGGCGGTGGTTCCTTCTTGTCCGAGGGCTGTACCGTCGTCAGGGTTATACCTGGGGGCAGCTTCAGATCCGCTACCTGACAACAATTCATCAGTTACCTTACACAACAATATAAAACAAAGTCGCTTTCTCTGTCCCTATATCCCTCGCTTAACTCTTTAAATCTACGCAACGGATATTGATGTGGTTTTTTAATAGACAGAGTGATTGAAGAGGAAGGTTTATATTTATAATGACATCCATTAAATAGTGGAGAAATTTAGTTTTAGCAAGCCAGGGCGGGATGGTATTGGTAATATGTGATAAAATTTGATCATATCATATGTAACAATGTGCCGAAGCCTGGACTTGTAATTTCTAATTATGAGTTTGAAATCGGCAATCCGCCTTGAACGAGCGTGGGGGTTAATGATTAAACCTTCTCCGTGTGAGAAGAAGTCTTTGGCCGATGATGATGATCTATTGATCCTTGACCTACCTGTACTCCACAGCTGAGCTGTTCCATGATGCTGCATGAGGCTGGCTTCTCCAACTCATTGCTGCACTGGTTCTGTGAGACACAACTATGCTATTTAACGTAAATACATTACAATAAAATAGTATTTTACACTGTTTGAGGATCACACAAAGACGCGACTCGTTGCACGGCCATTTTTATATATATATACTTAATAAGCTAATGTTATACAGAGGTAAAGTTTAGGCTATAAATTACACTTGATTTGCGTATTTTTACTTTTATACTACAAGCTAGTACGTAGATAGGTACAGATAGTGACGTTAAGCTACCTTCTTGCTAACAACTTCAATTGTGGTATCTGGAGTAATATTAATGGCTTGCGACTTCTGTTGCTGCAACTGTTGCATCTGTTGCTGTTGTTGCTTCTTGTTCTCCTTCTTTGTTGTCGCTTGTTGTTGCTGTTGCTGTTGTTGTTGGACGGGTTGTTTCGTCTTCGGTTGCGGTTGGGGCGCTGAACCAAGTATTTCAAAGTTAGGAACTGAATGCACTCGCAAGCTTATCTAGATTCAGGTATTACGATCCTAATCCTAATAATATTATAAATGTCAGAGTTTGTGTAAGTTTGTCATTCTTTAACGCGAAAATGTCTGGATAGGTGGATACCCTGGTCACCACATGTTCGAAGTCGAGGGCGGGAGCTAGTATGACAATATAGCGACTGATATACTGTAATATATATAACAAGAGTCCCGCTGTGACTCGAAACTAGTAGAGCTTTTCTCAGTTAATGTTAAAAAATGCACTCACTCTTCTCCTGTTTATTTTCCTTTCCTTTCTTCTCGTTCTTCTCAGCTTTCTCCTTCTTCTTTTCTTCCTTCTTCTCCTTCTTGGTCTCCACTTTCTTCTCTGCTTTAGTCTTGGCGGGTTCGGGTTTCGGTGGGTCGGCTTTTTTCACTTCTGTTGTCTTTTTCGTTTTCGCCTCTTGCTGTTGTTGTTTCTTCTTTTCTTCTTCTTCCGCCTGTGTAGGGAGGAGAAGAATAGTTTAGTTGTGTGCTTGAGTTAGTTCAAAATATGTTTTTCTGTAGTTTGTATTTTAGATATTAATTTAATCGCAGATATTTTTTATATTACGAAGATAATATAACTAGTGGGTATCACTGTATTTGGCCGTATGTGTTAATACATATGTGTATTATTTCGAATAAAGCCAGCTAGGTCCCTGCCTACCCCACGTACCTGTTGTTTGGCCAGCAGTAATTCAGTGGGCAGTACCACAGAGCTAGGTCCCTGCCTACCCCACGTACCTGTTGTTTGGCCAGCAGTAATTCAGTGGGCAGTACCACAGAGCTAGGTCCCTGCCTACCCCACGTACCTGTTGTTTGGCCAGCAGTAATTCAGTGGGCAGTACCATAGAGCTAGGTCCCTGCCTACCCCACGTACCTGTTGTTTGGCCAGCAGTAATTCAGTGGGCAGTACCACAGAGCTAGGTCCCTGCCTACCCCACGTACCTGTTGTTTGGCCAGCAGTAATTCAGTGGGCAGTACCACAGAGCTAGGTCCCTGCCTACCCCACGTACCTGTTGTTTGGCCAGCAGTAATTGGCTTGGCTAGTTGGTTAATGTGCGCTAGTGCTTGCTCCCAGGTTTGCTTGCGTCCGGACGGTTCCTCGGGGACTGTGGCCACTGGAACAAACAATCATTACAAACCTTGTTCGTGTGGATATAACAAATTATAAAAAAACATAAATAGACACAGACCTGTATGCTTGGGTAGCGCAGTGGCTCCATCTGGCGGCGCCCGACGTACGCATACCATGCCACCGCCCGCCTCGCCTGGGGAAATACATTTAATAATTAACTATTTTTACTACACACAGGCAAAACTCTAATGATAACAACAAACAAAAACTCACTAATGAACGTAGCAGTAGCGGCCTGTTGTTGCTGTAGCTGTTGCTGCAAGTGTTGTTGTTGTTGTTGTTGCAGCTGTTGCTGTTGTTGCAGCTGTTGCTGTTTGTTCTGTAGCGCTGCTTGCTCCAGCTGGAAGGAGGGAGAATATGGTTGCTTTAATCTATCCTCACGCCCTCATTTCCTCAATCCCTAGCCCACAACGGGGCTGTCACCTTACCTGAGTATGTGTGGGCCTGTCAGGTTTGCCTTGCACGGCCCTCGACTCTGCTATCTGTCGTTCGCAATTTTGCAACCGTCGCGTGAAGTCTACAACTTGCTTTTCAGCTGCTTGCATTTCCTGTAAACGGACGGACAATATTAACACACTGTTTTTATGTAATGCGTTGCCGGCTTTATGGAGTTAAGGTGTTTTTGGGATAAATAAAGGATTTCGGGGATAATTAGGGGATTTTGGGGATAATTAAGGGAATTTGAGGATAATTTAGAGATTTTGGGGATAATTAAGAATTTTGGGGATAATTAGGGGATTTTGGGGATAATTATGGGATTTTGGGGATAATTAAGGGATTTTGGGGATTATTAGGGAATTTTGGGAATTATTAAAAGATTTTGGGGATTATTATGGAAATTTAGGGATTATTAAAGGATTTTAGAGATAATTAATGATTTTGGGGATAATTAAGGGAATTTGAGGATAATTAAGGGGTTTTGGGGATTATTAGGTGATTTTGGAGATTAATAAGAAAATTTAGGTATAATTTTAGGATTTTAAGTATTTTATATGATTTTAGGGGATTATTAACGAATTTTGGGGATTATTAAAAGAATTTAGGGATAATTAAAGGATTTTGGGGAAAATTATGAAAATTTTGGGGTTAATTAAGGGATTTTGGCGATAATTAAGAGATTTTGAGGATAATTAAGAGATTTTGGGGATAATTAGGGGGTTTTGGAGATAATTAAGGAATTTTAGGATAATTAAAGGATTTTGGCGATAATTAGGTAATTTTGGAGATAATTAAGGGATTGTGGAGATAAATAAGAGATTTTGGGGACAATTAAGAAATTTTGGGGATAATTAAGTGATTTTAGGGATTTTGGGGATAAAGAATTTTGGAATAAGGGATTTAGAGATAGAGTATTTTGGGATAGGGGTTTTTGGGGATTGAATGATTAGAGAAGGATTAGTACAATAATAAATGTAATAAATAAAAAGGCACCTTGGAAGTAGTGTTCATGAGTACGGTAAGTTCTCCGAGCTGTTCAGCTACTAGTTGTACTTTAGCTTGCTGCGCCGGGTTCAGCTTTTGTTTTTTGCCTGTGGATACAAGGTACGCGTGAGTCGGGGTATGTGAGAGCGTCGTGTAGAGTGAGGCAGGTATATAGTTACCTTTCTTGTTGTGTTGGTGCAGCGTGGCGCGCGTGGCGTCGAGGCGGCGGCGCGCGGCGGCGTGCGCCACGTGCAGCGCGTCCAGCCGCGCCGCGAGCCCCCACTGCCGGCGACATACTGGGGATACCGCAGGCGTTGGGGACACTGCGACTGATCCACCGATTCTACTCGACCGACCTATGGAGGGGGCCATGCTTGGACTCTCTCTGAACGATCGCATTTGTTGAAGAACCACCTAGTGTAGGGCGCCCTCCAGCTAGGTGGACATCGAGCTCATTGGCATTCCATTAGAGAGGCCTATGACCAGTTGTGGACGGTATCAGGCTGATGATAAAGTGGGAGGCATCGAGTCCTTCCTCTTGAGTATGTCGGCGCTAGTGGTTGAGCGCATCCTTTATTCGGAAGCATGGCGGGCAACTTAAGGTCATTGCTGCGACAGAATATTCCTGACTTGGAGACTAGTAGACTCTCACACTTGGATGCGAAGCGTGACCACCAGCGGCAGTCGATTACCATCGTGTGAATGATGCTCTCACGCGTCCATTCTGTGCGAGAATATTTAAGAACAGGTGGATGTTGTAGCCACGAGAGAGCCCATTATAGACGCCAGTAGATGAGTACAGAGACGGTCGCCGTAGCTGCTAACGTCTAGGAAGGATTACTAGTTGAACCTTAGCTAAATGTGGATCGTAATGTACCGCGACCTCGCTCCTTGCAGGAGAAGGAAAAGGGGGGTGTTTAGTCAGTAAGAGTCTGACTCTCCTCGCCCCACCCACGGCAGGAGTCGATATTAATGATTTCCCCCTCTTATCTGTACCATCTTCGGATATTATGAAAAAGATGTGACATTTAATTATTGTCCTCTATAATAAACTCCTATAGGTACATTAGCTTTTAAGTAATTCTATTGTTACGTGCCTGACGTCACGTTCCTGACTATGCGGGCTTGGGTTACGGGATTGGATGAAATGAAACACTAATACCGGTTTTCAGACTTTCTATTGCACTTAAGTTACAGCGTCCACGGAGTTAAGTTATCGGCGTTCCTCTCCAGCAGAGTCCGGCCGACTGACACAACTTTGCCGTTCACGCTGACTTAACTCACTTAACTGACTGCACTTCACTATTTCACTGCACTTCACTATTTCACTCACTTTTCTTCTTTCTCACTTCTTCCTTTTCTTCCGAATCGCTTTAGACTTAGAACTCAACTGCCAGCGGTGAGCCGCAGTTCCGCTTATATACCCCCGGTCAGGTTCTAGAACATTCAATTTCGTTATTCTTTTTGATCGTCATGCCTCCAGAATCTTCCAATAATTTCGTTATTCATTTTTATTTATTCTTCTTCTCGCTCCTTAATTTTTCATCACTTTCACTCAAATATTCCAGAAAGTTCGACAAAACTTCCATCAACTAAAAAACTTCATGTTTACGGCGGGACTCGAACTCGGGGTCTCTGTGGTGTAATCCACACGCCTTACCGATTACACCAACTCGTGTTGACAATTCACGACGAAATTTACAATCTCTAGGCAACGTTTGACAACCATCCATTGACGTCATGATGTCAAAGAGTTTTCTGTCACACTGCCCCCCTCTTAGATTCGCTCGTCCCGAGCATCGTTGCTGCCGTAATACCTCGCCAACCTGTCTATATGGACAACTTTCAAAGGGCTCCTTGAAGACTTCCGAATTCTGTAAGTAATGTCATTGATCTTCGTGACTATCTCGTAAGGACCTTCCCAACTCGGTTGCAGCTTTGGAGATTTTCCCTTCCTTCTGACTGGATTATGAAGCCAGACCAATGACCCCTCTTCAAACCCAACAGAATTGGCTCGTCGATCATAGCGCGTCTTTGCGCGATCACTAGCTTGAAGACCGGCCTCCCTGATCTGCTCATAAATGTCCAACATTTTTGCCCTTAACTCGCTTATGTAATCGCTAAACTCGGTGCGAGAATCACCAGGTGGACAGCCCGATACAAGATCTGCCGGTAATCTCAATTCCCTTCCAAAATTTGCAAATGCAGGCGTCTTTGCGGTACTTTCATGTACAGCACTCCGATAGGCAAGCAAGAAGAGAGGTATGTAAGTGTCCCAATCTCTCTGATGGCTGTCAACCACCTTTGCTAAGTGTCGCTCCAATGTTTGGTTGAAGCGTTCGACCATTCCATCTGACTGTGGATGATAAGGGGTCGTTCGAGTCTTATGGATTCCCAAAAGTTTACAAGTTTCCTGGAAAACTTGGGATTCAAAGTTCCGTCCTTGATCACTGTGCATCTCCAAGGGCACTCCGAATCGGGTGAATACCTCGTTTACCAACTTCGTGGCTACAGTTACTGCCTCTTGATTCGGTATGGCAAAGACCTCCGGCCATTTTGTAAAATAATCCATAACCACTAAAACGTAGCGATTGCCCGAATCAGTGATTGGAAATGGTCCAGCGATGTCTAAGGCTATTCTCTCCCAAGGCATACCAACATTGTAGATTTTCATCGCCCCTCTGCTTCTTGTTTGTGGACCCTTGACAGCTGCACAACTAGTGCATTTCCGGCACCAATCTTCGACGTCATATTTGCAATGCAACCAATAAAACCTCTCCTTGATCTTCACCAAAGTCCTCCTAATTCCCAAATGTCCTCCAGAAGATCCATCATGGAACGCTTTTAATACATCCCTTATTTTTGAACGAGGCACCACCAATTGCAAATGCTCGTCCTTGCCGTTTGTTGATTCCCATTTCCTGCACAGAAGTCCGTTATGCAGCGTGAGGCTTTTCCACTGTGCCCATAAACCTTTCGTTACCGCGCTATATTGGGCGACGTCACTCCAACTTGGCTTGTTACCACTTCGTAGCCACTCCAGTATTGGTTTGATATCTGCATCTCTTTCCTGTTCTAATTTCATCGCATCATCTCCCCATGCCTCGTCAACAGTATCAGTCCTTATCACCTTAAGAAAAGCAGTTTCCTTCTTGGCACAATGCTTGCAATCTTCCACGCATGGGCGTCTCGATAATGCATCTGCGTTGCCATGAATTCTTCCGCCGCGATGTTCGATTTCAAAGTCAAATTCCTGAAGTTGTTCCAACCATCTGGCTACTTGGCCTTCGGGATCCTTAAACTGAAGCAGCCATTTCAAAGCAGCGTGATCAGTTCTGATCAAAAATTTCCGTCCCAGTAAATACTTCTTGAAATGGTGCAGAGTTTTGACTACGGCCAGCAATTCCCTCCTGGTCACGCAATAATTCTTCTCCGGCTTGGATAGTGACTTGCTGAAGTAAGCAATAACCTTCTCCTGCTCACCATCGCGTTGTGAAAGGACACCTCCTATTCCAATATTGCTGGCATCCGTATCAACTACGAATATTCCTTTCGCGCTGGGGTATCCGAGAATTGGTGTGTTACAAAGCCGTTCTTTTAGTTCTCGAAAGGCTTGCTCACAATCCTCGTCCCAGATAAAGGCACGTTTCTCCTCTGTCAATCGATGCAAAGGCTTGGCAATGTCCGAGAATCCTTTCACAAACCGCCGATAATACGAGCACAATCCAAGAAATGCCCGAACTTGCGTTTTGTCTTTAGGTGTTGGCCATTCCTTAACAGCGGCAGTCTTGGCTGGATCAGTCTCAATTCCTCTCTCAGAAATAACATGTCCTAGATAATTCACTTCGCGCTTGAAGAAAGAGCATTTCTTTGGACTCAACTTTAAATTTGCTCCACGCAGCTTATCGAGTACCTTTTCCAATTTCCTTAGATGATCGTCAAAATCCCGTCCAACAATGATGATGTCATCGAGGTAAACTAGGCAGGTTTCGCCCAGCAGTCCCGCCAGCACCTGTTCCATCAAACGCTCAAAGGTTGCCGGTGCATTGCATAATCCAAATGGCATCACCTTAAATTGCCAGAGTCCCTTCCCAGTTGAGAATGCGGTCTTTTCCTTGTCCTTGGGATCCAAATCCACCTGCCAATAGCCGCTTTTCAGATCGAGCGTTGAAAACCATTTCATGCCACTCAGTGTGTCAAGTGTGTCATCGATTCTTGGTAACGGGTAGCTATCCTTCTTGGTTACATCATTCAATCGTCGATAGTCTACGCAAAACCTCGTTGAACCATCTTTCTTCTTGACAAGCACGACAGGTGAACACCAAGGGCTAGAAGAGGGCTCTATCACGTCATTTTTCCTCATATCGTCAATCATTTCTTCAACCTCTTTCTCACGAGCGAATGGTATGCGTCTGGGCCTTTGACGAATTGGCATTGTATCACCTGTGTTTATTTTATGCTTCACTAAACCAGTTCGGCCAATATCACCATCGCTTCTTGAAAACACATCAGAGAATCGAAGAAGTAAATTTCTAGCTTTCATAGTCTCCACTTTTGTCAGACTTTTGTTTTCGTCTAAGATTTTCGTTACAAAGTCTATTCCCGTACTGTCCTTCTTCACAAGATTCTCCGAGCATTTTCTTATCCAGGCCACTTCTTCCAATACGCCCACAGGCTCTCCTTCTTCAATCGTAATTTTTGAATCACTGAAGTTGAATACCGGAATGCGGTTGACATCAGATGACCCCACGACAGTTCTCGCCGGTAGCCATGAGTTTACGTGTTCCGATTTATCAATCACAGCGCACCTTAGAGGTAAACTTCCTTCCCTCCTCCTAGGTAATGCGATTGGTACGAGAGTCTGTGATTTTGGTTCAAGAACAGTTCTTCTTAAACAGCAAACTTTTCCCAGGGTTCCACCCTTCATCGGAATTTCTTCAGTTCCACATAGTAATACTCCAGATTTTAAGTCGATGTTACACTGGTGCCCTTGCAGGAAGTCAAGTCCCAGGATGCAGTCATCCAGAATTTTGGCCACAATAACCTCATGTCGATAAACACGTTCCCCAATTTTGATTGTTACATGCAGTTTTCCACTTATCGGTATGCACTGGCCGGTAGCTGATTTCATTCGTAGGCCAACAATTGGTTTAACGTGTTTCCTGATGTTTTGCCCGAGCAGCCGAACATTTATCACCGTCCTTGAAGCTCCAGTATCTAATGTTAGCTGACTGTTTTTCCCATTTACTTGACCGTCTATCACCAGAGTATTTCCATCGCTAGTTTGCTTGATGTAGATTGTTGGGGTTATTCCACTACCGGCCAGCGCCCACCCCGCAGCCCTGGCTGGATTTAGTTTCCCTGCTGGTCAG